GCAGGGCATCTTAAAAGAGCCCTGCAGGGTTTTTTTTTGCCCCTTATGCTGTATCAGGAAACCTCCCTTAAAGGAGCTTCCAACTTCTGCTTGTCTCAAACAGAGCCCACTGGAGAAAATGTTGCTACCCAGAAGCTGTGCTTGTCACTATTTTTTTTTTTTAGAATTCCTTTTTATGCTTTTGTCAGGTTTCACGTGAAAAATTGTGCAACCCATATTAGCTCCATTTTATAATGGGAGGCTCTTTGTCTCAGCAGGGTCCCACCAACCTTGAGAATCCCAAATGAGTTCACAGATGCTGTATTAATTATAAAACTATTGGCTGATGACTAGCGCTTCTTATTGGCCAGTTCTGTCTTAATTATTAATCCATTTCTATAAATCTATGTATTTCCATGAAGCTGTGGCTTACTCCTCTGGCAACATTGCAACTCTGGCAGGATCCTGCCTACCTTTCCCAGAATTCTCATCTCCTAGTCCTTCCTATCTTCCTGCCTTATTGGCTTAACAGTGCTTTGTTCATCAACCAATAAGAGAAACACATATGCCAGGGACCTCCGGCCATCAACCAGGTACGGCTGCCTCATGTACTCATAAGAAAAGACCCTCATAGAAAGTACGTGACTCGGGACTACCCTGCTACCTGCCAAATTCCAGAAACAGACCTGCGGCTTATCTAGGGCATAGGCTTAATAGAAGGTGGAGTATGAAAGATAAAGTTAGAGTCTGCAGTTAGGTTACCAGAGGACACAGGATGCCCTACCCATCCCACTGACCTTCTGCTCCGCCAGGTTCATCGCAGCTACAGCACATCCCCCATTCCTTCCCCTCTTCCCTTCCTCTATATAAATCCCTTTGGGATGAATAACGTTGTCGCCTTGATCAGACTCTTGTCTTGGCGTCCGTCTTTGTATCCCCTGCCCCCCATATTTTCCCTAGGTGTCCACCAGACCCATATTGAGTGTCCTTTGGGTCGGGGCACACATACAGAAAGACATCCCCCATCAACAACAGCTTTTGGTATTTCCCACTGCTTGTTTATCTCATATAAATAAATATTTCATCTACTGGGCACATATATCTGTGAATGGTGCAGAAGACTTTTTATTTAGCTATGTAATTTTTGATGTATAGAATATATACTGGAATAAGCCTCATAACCAGATCTATTTATCCCACAAGAACTGTGAACACTTAACAGTCTGCCTTGTTCTCTTGCTCAGACTAACTTCAAATAATTAGTTCACTCTCGCCTCAGAGAAAGTTGAAACTAGTCTAAAGGCCTTTTGTAAATAAATCATAAATTTAAATCCTTCCAGATATGTACAAGTTCAGAGCTACAGAAGTCCAACCAAGGTTACTAAGTAAATCGTACCAATTTTTCACCTGCCTGTCTACTCACAACAGATTTGTGTCTCAAGGCTGTGATTGGACACTGTGGTCCCTGTCTGGTAATGGTCGTGCTCCTATGGCCTTGTATAATTGTGTTGCCATGGAAATGGATCATATCCTTATCACTTGCTCTAGGAATGTGTTTTTGACCAATGAGAGATATTTCTTTATCACTTCAAGGCTCCTGAAGGAGCAGAGTTTTGAAATTAGAAGCTAAAAGAAGGAGCAAAGAAAAATAAGTTAGAAGCAGGGCATGATTATTAGAGTAGAAATAGAATAATAAAGAACAAATGAAATAAAGAGCATGACCCTCATATTGTGTGTGAAGTTACTAAGAAATATGTACCCCCTCCTTTATTCCTGAAAAGTGTTTCACCTTTGGAACCCTGGGTAGGGGCTGGAGCTGGACTCATAGTCCATACATAGTTCTAGAGTCACTTCTGGTTCAAAATCTATATAGATATGGTTCTTTAGAGCAATAGAATTTATAGAATCTCTCTCTCTCTCTCTATATATATACATATATGTATATATATGGATGTGTGTGTTCATTCTGTATGTGTATATATACATATATACATACACACACATATATATATATATACATATATACAGAGAGAGAGACAGAGACAGAGACAGAGACAGACAGGGGATTGATTGGAATGGCTTACAGGCTGCTGTGCAGCTAATACAATTGATAGCTAGCTTAGTTGCTATATCTACAATGTTCGATTATTTGACTGGTTTTCAAATATCTCTCAAATGCTCGAGTTCTAAAGAAATAGGCTTCAGTGGATGTACTAGCAAAGAAATGAGCCAGCAAGCAGACAATGAGCAAAATAGATTATTCTTCTCTGTCCTTTTGTAAGCTTCCGGGAGGTGTGGCCTAGACTGAAGTTGTGACTTCCAACCAAAAGATCATTTGTAAACGTGTTGAGGAGGCAGAAGCACCTGAAGACGAGGTAGTCCTCCTGATCAGAGTTCTTGAGCAAAACCGTCTTCAGGTCTCCCTTGCAGAATAGCTTCTGCTTCCTATTGGCCCATCACACCCCAATAACTGGGATTCCCTGTGTTCTGGAAGCAAACGTGGCACAAAACAGTGGGTGTAATAGATCTGCACATGAACTTTCCAAGCTCCTGTCTGCTAAGGTGCAAGTGGCTGTCCCAGGACAGCTGGTGCTGCTCTGTCTCTGTGATTCAAGGCACAGAGTGGTTGAATCCTCTTCTGAGTCATAACTCATTTGTGGCACTACTGAACAATCTCCATTTATTTCTGTTATCCCAATTGGCTAACTTTGGCCCCAGTTTATATAATGCATTGATCAGTGCAGTAGCTTCAAATATATGTACTTGCTGCTTGGGAGGGGGGTCCACCCCTTCCTTGACACCAAGCCATCTTCTGTCTCAGAGCCTATCCTCTTCATCTTCTGGAGACACTAGTAAGGAATCAAAAACGTTGAATGATGGCTCACAGGAGCTGTATGCTGTTTAATCAAATGCCATACTTGTGCTAAATCTGAGCCAGCAGAAAAAGGGCATTTCTCCAGCATTAATCGAGAAAGATGATTTTTCTTTTATTGGAAAGAGAGGCATTGACTGCTTGCTGTAAGGTCTCACAGAGAAACACAAACCCAGTGTCCTGGAGCCTCAGCCTCAGAGAGGGGCTCCAGACTGCAGGGCTGGAAACACGGTCCATATCTTTGATGGACATAACTCCATAGCGCCTCTCTTGACTTTGAAGGCCACTTCCAGTTTGACCAAACATTTTCTCAATATTCAATCAACTCTGTGTGTTTGTAGGATAGGAATGTTTCTTCCTCCCTCACAACGTGGCATGCCAATAGTAGGAATGTCTTTGCACAAGCCTTGCTCCCGGGGTAGCACATGAGTCCTTCTCAATGTTTACTTCAACAACCTAAGCGATCTCTATGGCATAGTTTTGCTTTTGTCTCGAGAAGGTCTTTGAAGGGTTGAGTCCTGACTGCAAGGCAATGTTTTCTCTTAAGGGACTGCTCTGCTGCTGGGGAGTGGACTCTCCCAGACTGATGCTTTTCTCTTGGTCAGACAGACACCTGCTGGAGTTCACATCCACACTATTTAGTGATGCTTCCTCCCTCATGGCTAAATAGAACCTGGCACCAGTGTTTCAAGTTGTTCCACATTTTCCCCACGTCATCCACTGTTTAGAAGATTAAGAACCTACTATGTGCAAGCTCCCACTATTCACCGTAAAGTACGCAGGGACTCAAGACCCTGGCTTGTCTTCCTCTTCCTCCTTGATCCATCCCCGGTAAGGGCCCTGCAGCCTTCAATGAGGTGCCCAGGCACCTGCCCGAGTTCTGTGCTGGGCACGGGGAACCTGGCAAGGAGCAGCCGTCGCTTGTGGGTGCTGGGCAACCGCAATGGACACGCAGCAGTCAGGGCACACATGCTGGCCTCATCCAGTGAACCTGGAGTGAGACAGTCAGTGACAGGGCTAATCAGACCGCTTGTGAGTCTCCTGACAAGCCGAGCAGCCTAGCTTCCTCAGAAGGAACCAGGTGACTCCAGCGTCCTGGATGCCCTCACAGCCCCCATCACTTCCAGGCCTACTAATCCTACTCAACCCTTCCATACCACCGCAGCCCCCCCTCCCACCGGAATGGGTGTTGGTATTCGGGCATCTATACTGACCTGCCCCTTGGGATTCTGACAGGATACGCCCTCAGCTCCAGTCACTAAGAGCACCGCCTGTGCACATTCACTACTTTCCGTTTTAAATGGCCCTGCCCACCTCACCTCCCATCTTTCTGAGCTTGTCTACCTACCTCCCTCTCTCTTCTGAGGATCCTGTCCCTAGAGGTCGGTTTCCTCTCTTCCCTCCACTTTTCTCGTTCACTTTCCCCTAATAAAAATCCCCTCCACCCAAGTCCTTTTGTATGTCATCATTTAAATGGCATCAGTGGGGCGGTTCTCGTGTGGTCACCCACAAAATTTTTTTATGCGTACAATTTCGGAACTACACAAAGAATCTGTTAAATCTAATAATGCATTTCAAGGAGGGAACTTCCAACAAAGAGAATTATAAAAGTATGCTTTCATACGGATGGTCAGGAGCATGAATTTTGTGATGCACAGCAAACTTAGAGACAAAACTCACGCCTTTCCACATTTTTATGTTAGTTTATTTTGTCCTCATTATGATTTTTTTTTGTTGAGACAGGGTTCGTGTAATCCTTGTTGTCATGGAACTCATTATATAGATCAGGATGCCCTCAAACTCAGAGATTGCTCCAACCCTTGTCTCCTGAGTGACGGATTGAAGGCTTGTACCATCATGCCTGGCACTGCTATGAATCTTTGGAAGTTGAACAAGAGAAATGTTTTTATGACAGCTTTTCCCAGGGGCTGGAGATACCATTTAGGATTGGCTGCTCTTTCGGAGGACTCGGGGTTCAATTCCCAAAAGACAGCAGCTCACAATTGTCTGGAACTCCAGCTTCAGGGAATCGATGGTCCTCTGGCCTCCACCTGCACATAGAGCGCACATAGAGGGCTACATAGAGTGCACAGCAGAACCAGCAGGCAAAGCATCCATACACATGAAAAGAAATAAGATTTTACCACAGTAACATTTGGAGGGTTTTATTTTGGCATGAACTCTGTGATATTTGCTAAGATTTAAACCTCATTACAGGTTTTCATAAGTTTCTTATTTTATGTTTCTATTATATATACTGTTGTGAATTGTAAGCAGAGAATACAGGAAAATGGTATGTCACATTATTTACAATGGTGATTTTTCTCTCTAGTATGAATTTTCTAATGTCCCCTAAGACTTGTAATATGGGTAAGGATATGTCCAGTCTTTGCATTTTTAAGGTTTCTTTCCAGTATGAATTTTCTGATGTGTCCTAAGATGTTCATACCTAGTAAAAGACTTGTCACATTCCTGACAACTGTAAGGTCTCTCTCCGGTATGAACTCTGTGATGTCTTCTAAGATCTGTGCAACTGGTAAAGGATTTGTCACATTCCTGACAACTGTAAGGTCTCTCTCCAGTATGAACTCTCTGATGTTTCCTAAGACGTGAGCAAGTGGTGAAGGATTTGTCACACTCCTGACAACTGTAAGGCCTCTCTCCAGCATGAATGCTTTGATGTGTTCTAAGTATTGTATAGTCACTAAAAGACTTATCACAGTCTTTACATTTGTAAGGATTTTCTCCAGCATGAATTTTCTGATGTGTTCTAAGATGTTCCCACCTAGTAAAAGATTTGTCACATTCCTTACAACTGTAAGGTCTCTCTCCAGTATGAACTCTCTGATGTCTTCTAAGATGTGAGCAAGTGGTAAAGGATTTGTCACATTCCTGACAACTGTAAGGTCTCTCTCCAGTATGAACTCTCTGATGTATTTTAAGACTTTCAATATGAATAAAGGATACGTCGCAGTCTTTGCATCTATAAAGTTTCTCTCCAGTATGAATTTTCTGATGTTTCCTTAAACCATAAGAATGGGCAAAGGATTTGTCACATTCCTCACAATTGTAAGGTCTCTCTCCAGTATGAATTCTCTGATGTGTTCTAAGTTGTGAGTCCCAGGAAAAGGATTTGTCACATTCCTTACAAGTATAAGGTCTCTTTCCAGTATGAACTCTCTGATGCTTTCTAAGATTTGCCATATGAATAAAGGATACATCACACTCTTTGCATTTAGGAAGTTTCTCTCCAGTATGAATTTTCTGATGTGATCTAAGATACGAGGAGCTAGTAAAAGACTTCTCACATTCCTTACATCTGTAAAGTTTCTCTCCAGTGTGAACTCTCTGATGTCTTCTAAGATATGAGATTTCGGGAAAGGATTTGTCACATTCCTTACATTTGTAAGGTTTCTCCCCAGTATGAATTTTCTGATGTCTGGAAAGGTATGAGTTCCAGGTAAACGATTTGTCACATACCTTACATCTGTAAGGCTTTTCACCAGTATGGATCCTGTAATGCCTGTTAAGAAGTGATAATTCAAGAAAGGACTTACCACATTCTTCGCACTTGTGTAATTTCTCGAGAGAATGAGTTTTCTGATGCTTTCTCAATGATGTATAGTGGGGAAAGGACCTGTCACACTCATTGCACTTGTAAGGCTTCTCTCCAGTATGGAGTCTGTAATGGCTTTCAAATTGTGAAAGCTGATGAAAGACCTTGCCACATTGTTGACAACTATAGTGTCTCCCAGCAGCATGAATTTTCTGATGTCTTCTGAAATTGGAATAGTGGGCAAAGGATTTGTCACATTCTTTGCATTTGTAAGGTTTCTCTCCAGTATGAAGTCTTTGATGTGTTTTAAGACTTGAACGTTGGGTAAAGGATTTTTCACAATTGTTACACTTGTAAGGTTTAATTCCAGTATGAATTCTCTCATGTTCGCTGAGGCTTGAAGTAGTACTAAAGTATTTCCCACATTTCCCACATTGATGTGGTTTCTCTCCAATGTAGATTGGTTGTTGAAAAAAAGCGTATGCATAGCTGAAATAGTCATCATATTCTTCCTGCCTGTGCTCTTTCTTTGCAGTGTAGACTCTCTGATCTTGAGTAATGCCTGAACATAGATTTAAAGATTTCTCACAGTCTTTAGATTGACAAGGTTCTTCTCCAGTGTGCATGCTTTCATGTCTGTCTGGGTTTGATGAGTCAACAGAGGCATCCCTGTGACTACTGCATGTGTAGTCATTAGAGTTTTCTGTAGTTTCACTTTTTCTATGAAGTGCACATGTGGAGGGGTCATGAAACACTTTGTCAAGCTCATCACACTGACAAGACTCCTTTTCAGTATTCACATGGTGATGGACAAGATCACATCTGCAATAGTTCTCTGCAAATGAGTATAATTCAGATTAACAGGGCTTGTGATAAAAGACTGTCTCCCTAAATTGCCATTTAACATGAGTGAACATGGACCTATTTAGATTAGAGAATCCAGTAACAGTTTTTATCCACTGTAACTGTATAGAGTCTCACAAATACAGCATGATAGCCTTCAAAGGCCAGTGAGTTATAATACATATTTCATCCTTCTCAAAAATCTCTATCTGGGAAAAAGATGGATGAAATAATTGACGTTCATGAATTAGCTTTGGGATAGAACTCAATGAATGATTATATTTAGAATACATGTCTCTATCTTTAGATGTTTCTTCTTGCATACTGATGAAGAGTTTAATCCAATACCAGGTACACAGGATTTATAATAGGTGATAGGCAATGAAGAGTACTCTTCAAAATACCCAATACCTTTAAAGATTAAAGTCTTACTTAAAAGCATCGAAGTGTTTATGTTTCTCTCTAGAAAAACACATTACAGTCCTCAATAGTAATGGATGCAAACAGAGCATTCTTCCAGACATCAGAGGGTCTACATCATATGAGGCAGGGCTGTCATGGGCAGCTTTTTCTTCTGTCCTCCACTGTCTGAGATCCACACACTGCTGTCCTCTTAACTTTCCTCACAGGTCTGCTCTCAGGCCCACTCTGTACACTGACGCCTGAGATTATTTCCCAGAAGGATGTCTGTGTACTTAGCAAGGGGAAGAAAACTGAAGGATGTAGTATGAAGATATGCAAACAAGGAAGGGCAATTACAGAATAATCCTACTCCATGGACTCACTTTAGACTTAAAATTTTGTCAAATTATTCCAATCCAGTTTCAGCACAGTCAAATAAAACCGCATTTTGTAATAGTATTATATCACTAAAACATATGATGCCTTGTTGCAGTTATCACAGCAGACAGGTTGCATTTTGGGGCCAGGACACTACACTAAGTTAGATGATCAGGGATCCATTCAAGAGCACATTGCAAAAAACCATTCTGAGGTCTGGCTTTCTCATTCACCTGATGCCTTCACTGTTCCCTTGCTCACTCATTAGCTCATCCTAGTAGGGGTTCTCTCCTCTCCACATTCCAGGGTAATCTCATTCTTTCTAGACAGGTTACCCCAAATCCCTTTCATGCAATAAGCCATATGTTCTTTCAGGCAGCCCATGACCCATGGTCGAACACTTAGAAAGAATACAGAAGTCTAACACAGTACTTCACTCAGTACAAGAAAAGAGGAGCAGAGGAGGTTAGTCAAGGATTCCCTATTGATACTTTTTATCAAATTCTTGAGTATATTCAGTATTTTTGGTTTGTATATCTTAAAATTTTCTCACAAATAAACTATGACAACTGCAATAACAGACATAGGGCTTTAAGATATGAGTGGAAATATTGTATGCTACTGTTTTATGGGTGAACCTTGGAACCCAAACGAAGAGTAGATGACAGCTCTGAAATGGAAATGGAAAGAGACAACTAAATAGCATGAAAAAGTTCTTTCCTGCTACTACACGTTGCCTTATCTTCTGTTGGATTTCTGAGAATGCCTCTACAGATTTTACATCCTAAGAAGTTATAACAAACAAAAGATGGGTTAGGAATTCTACAATCAAATTTTTCTTACCCACAAAGACAAGGTTGCTATAATTCTCCAACATGACATCAATGCACAAAGCCCTCTGAGCAGAGTCCAGGCATTCCCACTCCTCCTGTGGGAAGTACACAGCTACATCCATGAATGTCAACAGACCCTGAAATAAAAAAGTATGGGTTGACCAAGTGCTACCTGGAAGTGTTTTCCTGGATATAAGGAGATGGAATGACGATGACCTAAGATAATTACTCAAAAAGATGATTTCCAATACAGTCACATTCTATCATGGATGTTCTAACTCTGAGAAAATAGAAGGACACAATAGTCTTACAAGCAGTATACGTGAAACAGGAAATACATTTAAGGTCTGGACACAGTTATGTATCTGCTATATATGCTGTGTTTATGTCCCACAGGATCACAGTGTACATGTCTCAGAAGGAAAATTCATGATGAGGAAATGTACTTTAAATGCTGTACCTGTAGATCATGCTAAAACATTGACATATATAAATCCTGTGTGTTATCTTGGGCCTTACATGACTATATTCTAACACTCTCAGCTGGAATGTTTAAACTTGAGATCCAGTGGCACACCATTACATATCAAAGGGGTAGGTATGGAAAATAGAATATATGCTGATTTTATAGACAAGAATTTTGGTTTTTTCCATAGTAGCAAGGATTGTAACAGTACTACATATTGTCTATTTTACCACTGACAGATAAGTAGTATGTGGAATTAATTTTATGAGATTAGGACCACTACTAACAGATAGAAAAATGTGTATCAGCCATATTTGATATAATTAATATTTTCCCTAAGAATATGCATAATCCAACAAAGACAAATAACAATTTCAGAAGTTTTACAGACTTTCACATCACTCTCAAATAGTAGTAGAAATTGAGGGAAGTCCAAAACATACATCAAAAAATGTTCAAAGTAGAGTGAAATGAATCTGTACCAGTGACACTTTGATTAAGGTTCATAGCAAAAATTTACCAAAAAATAACTTAGTTAAATACTGAAGAAATAAAACTGCAAATGAACAAATGGACTAAATAGACATTTTTCATAGACAGAAACTCAAATGGCCAATAAACATTGCAAAATCACTCAGGATGCCAAAAAGGCAACTGTGGAAACACAAATTAAGACTACCTCAAAATACAGTCTGACCCCAGACAGAATGGCTGTCATCAACTAACCTAACAACAAATGTCAGAGGGGATATGGAGAGAAAGGAAGTGTTATTCCCTGCTGATGAAGGGGAGAGTGCAAATTAACACAGCCATTATTGTAGGAATCAGTTGGAGATTATTGAAAAAATTGAAGACAGAACTAACATATGACTCAGCTCTTTCATTCCTGGCCATATACCCAGAGAACAACACGGCCCATTACAGAGATATTTATACCACATGTTTATTGCTGGTTTAATCACCAAATTAAAAGAATTGGAATCAAACTAATTATCTATCAACAGATGAAAGGATAATGAAAATTGTATAAAATAGAAGTTTAAAGAATTATTATTTTTTAAAGTTTTATACAAAAACTGTTCACCTGAAGAGAAAAATACAATAAAAATTTGCAGGAAAATTGACAGGCCCAAAATATGTAATATTAAATGTGGTCATATATTTTTAGAAAGAAGACAATCCATTTTCACTTATATGCAGAATCTACCCAATAATATATGTATATAAAAACAATGTATATGCAGGTACAGTATACCACGGAGAAAAGAGAACAAGAAGGGTTAAATTATCAGGGACTGAATGCAGGTAATGAACACCAGTTATGGAAAAGCTAAGTGCTTTTCTAGTTCTAATTCTGCCAAAAAGGTTTTTGGGGTTTGGGTGGTGGGTAAGTAAATCAAAATATATTCGATTGTGAAAATATAAAATCCATGTGAGGTTTCAGAGCTTATTTTTCCCATGATGATTCTACCTGTATAAAAGTACATCCAGTTGTATAGTCTTTGGGCCTGTGTAATTAAAGTGTGTGATTCTGTTGTTGTCTGTTTGCAGAATTGATCATAATAAAATTTTAAAAATTATCAGAAGCAGAAAGTTAAAGGCTTTTAATATATCAAAGTATAATATATTTATATAAAGAGTGGGAAGGGCCACAAACCTGAGACATGCTTACTGGAGAATCAGCCATTTCTTATTGTTTCTCTTCTGTGAGTTTCTCTTTCAGGAACAAAGAACAAATGGCTTGCTTTCCTTTGGGAGATTAAAAAAAGGGTCAAAAAGGAAGAGTTAAAGTTAATACTGAAAGCTGTTAAAGAACAATGTCAAACAACATGAAAGGACCCAAGCGAAAATATACCACTAGGTGTCTAGTCAATGATCCCAAAGACAAGAGAGCATAGAAAGACATTTGAATCTTGAAGACAGAGTCAACATCAAGCACAAAGAAAACTATTTCCTTAAGTTTGATGAAGACATAAGTGCATTTCAAGACAGTCACCAACCAATACCATTGATTTTACTAATGCACCAGTGCAGATAATAAATTAGAGGGAAAACATACACAGGAGAGTCAGAGAAATCATCCATGAGAACATGGGAAATAAGTTTCATGTGAAGAGCAGAGAAATACAGAATTGGGAAGAAATCATCCATGAGCAAGACAGCAAACCACCATTTCTCAAAAGGAATAAAGAATACTACCAACAGTTTAACCATCCACAACATAAAAACAAAGCAACAGGAAATAAAAACGCCAAGAACGAAAAAACTAGTCACATGGAAATCAAAATAGTGAATCCTCAATTAAATAAACAAACCCTCAAGTTAAATAAATTCAGCATATGACCCAGCTGTTCCATTCCTCAAAGTACTCGACATCTTTTTCCACAGATACTTGCTCACAATAGCTACAAAATGGAAACAACCTAAATATCTTTCAGCCGTCAAATAACAGTGAAAGTGTGGTACATGTACACTATAAATATTATTAAGTTGTAAAGATGCTTAAAATCATGATCTTTGCAGGCAGACAGGTTGTCTTTAAAAAGATCACATTGAGTGAAGTAACTCAGACCAGAAAGACAGACAACGCATGTTCTCTCTCGTAGGAAGGTCCTAGCTCCAAATCTTCAGATGTGAGTACACAACCTGGAGAGACTGCAGTCACCAGAAAACAAGACAGTACCGTGGAGTTTGTGGGAGTAACAGTGACAAGAGTTACAGGGGACAAGTGATGTGAAGGGGGAAACGAAAAATAAGGGTGAGGATTTAATTATGGAGAAGGGACAGGTATAAACACTGAAGGGGGAGGGTAAAATAACAGTAAGGATATCTGGAAAATTCATAAGGAATCCATCTATTGCTTAGCTATTATCCACCCACCAAAAAAAAATGCCTAAGTCTCTGTAAGCAGTTAAGTTAGAGTATAAATGATAATTTCCCATCTCAGCTGATGATGCTCTTCACAGGAGCCATGGATTTTCTAACAAACAACCCACACAAGCCTGCTTTGAAGTTTTTGGTCACAGTTGTGCAAGAGACTTCCAAATATTACAGGGTATTGCTGTTGCCCATGGTTGCCTCCCAGCGCAGAATGAGAGTCCCTAGTGCTGAAGAAGCCAGACATCTCAGACACAAATGCCAAAGGACTCGGGATGAAATTGATCTTAAAACTTCCTTCCTGGGGACTAGGTTTCATGGCATATAAGGCAACATGCAAGCTTCCAAAGGAGGGAGCCAAACAACAGTCCTACCCAGATATGACACCTGTGAACCACAACAGTGATCTGCACTTCATGATATCCTTAAGGGTGCAAGAGTGGCACATATACCTTGGTGGTATCCAACAGCTTCTAGTTGGATTTAGACACTCCCAACAAGAGGGAGAACATGCCTGGTACTGGAAAGCTAGCCAGTTTTGGTTGTCAGGAGTAGGATTGAATTTCCATGTAGAATGACAAGAGCTTAAAAGGAATTTTAGAAACAAAAGAACGGAGAGAGGCACAGCTTCTTGGTAGCAGCATTTTTCTCAGGTGGGCTCTGTTTTGCTAGTGACAAGCAGAGACTCACAGGGCTTGCTTAAGGGAGTCTTCCTGACTCAACATAAGCAAAACAAAACAAAACAAAACAAAAAAACCCAGCAAGGTTCTTTTAGGAGGCTCTGCTAACAATTGAAAAGTATGTATCTACAGCTAGAAGTGGCAGTGACCACATCTCCAAGCTGGCACTATGCTGCTGGATGTCAGGATAGACTGAGGCGGTGAGCTGGAGGCAAACTTACGCCCGCCATCTTGGAAAAATGGCCATGCTTTTTAGCAGATAAGACACATGGCCTAAAAACATAAAGATTTACAGTAAAGTCAGATTCAGATGAAGAAAAACCTCTAAAGGTTTACAGTGTGTTTAAAAATATACGTAGGATTGGTAAAGAAAAAGAAACGACATAGTGGTAAATAAATAGAGAAGTCGGCTGTGGTGGCACATTTGCTCCAGAGGCAGAGGCAGGCAGATTTCCAGAGAAACCCTGTCTCAGAGAAATAAATAAATAAAAGTAAAACAAATAGAGTAATAATAATAGATAAATAAATAAGCCATGTAAAGATGGAAAATACACAGAGTCTGGATACTGTATGCTATTGTGTTATTCAGTTTTTTGATTGCCAGAGAAGGGAAAATTGCTAAAGTATACTTGATTATAAATGCTGCTGAATTAATTCAACTTATATATTTCAAAAATGCTTTGACTTCTAACTTTAAATATAAAGACCAGTTACTTGGGAAAAACGTTTTTGTTCATGTTTCCACAGAAAATGGAAAGCTGTGGATTCCTTCCAGGCTTCTGTGGTTTGATGAACCAAGAACCCGGGAAGCAGTGGGCCAGGTGTTCCAAGAATTAAGACAGTTAAGATGATGCAGCCTTATAGTCACCGAAATTAAGGACTTACACAGGTTTCTGAGTTTTGTCATGATCCCCATGGTATGAACAGCATCCCCTATCAGCAGGAAGAAGTTTGGAATGAGCGACATCCAAATTCCCATATTATTTATAAATCTTTGTTTTCATTTAAATGGGGTTGCTTATAATTGGTTAATGATCACAACCAATCTCTTTTTAATGGTAAAAAGGGAAATTATGGTATGGAAATGAATACTTTGCATGGGTATGGGTTTTCACTTATTGATACAAATTTAAAGTCAATTTTGTAATGTGTATATTTCTCCTCTTGATTAAGTATTGCACTTATACTGATCTTTTAAAGTGTAATGCATAATTAAATACAAACTATAGATAGTTTCTTATAATAGTCAGAACTTATAGGTAGGTAAGTTAAGTTTTCTAGATATAGAGATATATTTGAGATAGATAGACAGTCTTCAAACCTTTCAAAAACCTTCAGAAAAAGGTATTTAAAATGGTTTAGGGTTTTTCTTGACAATGAGAAATGTCGGCTCCTGGCACATCAATTACGTTTGAGAGGAAGATGGGCATCAAAGAAACTTGTTATGAAGTTTGCTTTCAACATGGCAAGATTAGCCATTTGGGCAAGAAACTGCTCTTGCCTGGGCCATTTGACTTTTGCTGTATAAACTGGATATGCAGGACCCATAGGAATGTGACTGCTGAACTCAAACCGTCCTTCCGGGTTCCTGCTTCATGGAAGAGTCTACCAGACATTCTGCAGGACCCAAAAAAATGAATGACAGACTGCAAATGCAGATGGACAGTTTGAAGTTTCCTGCTTTGTTCAGCAGTCTTCCGGTCTATGGGCTGAAGATGGATGCCCCAACATTACAGAGGAACTTCCGGTGACTGTCCAGGTAGTGAGATGTCTCTGTCAATCCTAGTGTTTATATATTATCCATCTGTGGTCTTTGATGGAGTTGAAGACAGATAGTTGTAGTTTTAGTTTTCTTTAGTTATGATAAAAGATGAGCTACGTATAAGACTTTAGACTCACAAAGATAGGATAGATGATACTTTCTTTAAATCTTACTAAATGTTAATGGATAAAATATTGTAACTATGTTCTTACTTGATAACTGTTCTGTTACATATAATTTGACTTATGTTAAAGTTAAAACCTTTCTTTTGTTTAGACAGAAAAGAGGAGATGATGGGAGATGTCATTCTGAAATCTGTCTCTTATTGGTTGTTGAATAAAGCACTGTTGGCCAACAGGGAAGCAAGATAGGTGGGACTAGGAGTCCAGGAGGATTCTGGGAAAGAGAAACACAGAGAGTCACAATGTAGCCTCCAGAGGAGTAAAAGGTCCGGACCCTTTCTCTGGTAAGAGGAATACTTAGATTAACAATTATGCAGTAAATACTTAAGTCAGAGATAGCCAGTAAGAAACCAAGTAAACGGCCAACAGCTTCATAATTAATATAGGCTCCTGTGTGTTCATTTGGGACTAATGTGGCTCTGGAACCAGGCTGGTGGGAAGACTTTAGTCAACAGTTTCCCCAGGGCTAGCAAAGGCAAGTGTCTTGGAGGAAAACCTACAACCACTACTTTATCAACATAAAAATATGTATCCTAATTGCCAACTGACAATAGGAGACAGTATAGATGGAGTGTAGAAGGCTGTAAATATACTTCCTGATTCTCACCAAAACATTGTTGGCATTATTTTCAGGAACAGAGACAAAAAACACTAACAGGGAGAGAATGTGCTAGAATATCAAAGGTCCAAAATTCTGAAAACAAGAAATAAGCCTAAAGACATTGTCAAACATTTTCATAATATATTAAAATGATATAAATGAAAATGATTCACTCTTGGTATGAAAACATGATCTGTGATGTGAATGAATAAGGACAGCATCGCTCACAATCATAGTCAAATAAAATTTTATTTGATTTCATTATCAATTGTTCTGAAGAAAGTGTTCTCATGCCCACATTAGGATAATCCTGAAAATTTTCTCACTGGGAACCTGGAGTGCTATTTCTAGTGAAACAGGATGTGGTTAAACTGATTTCCTGTTCCACTTCCACATCACCTGACCCCTCCCTCTCCTTCACCGACCCCTCCCCCACACCTGCATCCTTAGCATCTGTCTCCTCTCTCCTTCCAGGCCCCTTTGTTCTGCTGCACAGGTGAGCAGGTCTGCGTGATCAGTGAGCCCTGCACATGAGAAAGAGATTGTGCAGGAAGCCCCTGGGTTTCTCACACATTGCTGTGCTCTGTAGATGAAGAGAACACTAATTACCGGATTATACAACTGATTTCCTAACTCTCCTGCACTGTCAGAATACTGAAAACAATTAGAAAGCATTGTTAGTGTAACTTAAATCCTACTTCCAATCACAGCTCAGTCAAAACTCAGGGACAGAAATGGAACTGAATGATTGGGAACAGAGTGTCACACACTAGTGAGGTTTTGAAATGACCACGGACCAATAATGATGGATCCTTACACCTCCCAAAGGGACACACAAGAAGAAGAGAGAACACCTCATGAAAATTTTCTTTTTTCCTTTGAGGGTTTTACTTTACTCTGTGGGATGTGAGAGCCATTCACTCAAAGCCCACACAGATCTGTTTGTCAAGAAATACCGAGGAGGAGCAAGGGAGACAGCAAGTAAATGAATCACAGACACAGAAACCATACTGCTGCCATTTTGCAACATCTAGTCCCAATGCAAATGCCCTCAATGGAAAGGTCCAGGCATTGCCACTCCTTCTGGGAGAAGTCCACAGTAACACCACTTACTGTCAACAGACCACAAAAAAAAAAAAAAGTTTTACATCATCCTCTTTCTGCACTTGTGAGAAAGAACTGGTTGGAACTCCGTGTCTGGTCTACATGGTGAGGTTTGGCTAGACAGAGCAACACTGTGAGTCGAGGTCTCAAACACAGCAAACACCGGAACCAAAAAATAACCGTCTGCTCATGTGTCCATGAACAGAATGCTTTCCTTGGACCACGGAGGCAAAGGGATATTGTAGACATTTTCCTGATATACATGAGTTATCCTAATTATTCAAAAGATGCTTTCTAACATTATTCTATATTATAATGCATTTACATTTCTTTTTCGTTATCTATTTTCTCCTGAAACAGCGTTTTTCTGCATAGTGCTGGCTGTCCTTGAAGTCACTGTGGACACCTTGTCAGCTTCCAACGGATCCACCTGGCTTTGCCTTCTGGTTAAAGGCCTGTGCCACCAGGCCTTGCAAAGACACTGCTCAAAACGCTGTATTTACATCCCACTGTGCATATGTCTCAGATGGAAAATTAATTGTGGATAAAAGGTTACTTTTAAAAGCTAATGTACACAAGTAAGCGGTTGAACTCACACAAACACATACATCCAGGTTTAATGAAATTTGCAGGTGTTATTTTCATGACTATAATCTAAAAGCTCGCTGCGAATCCAAGCCTCCAGGTAAATGTGCCACTCTCTTGAATATGGAAGTGTGTAACATGGAAATTAGTACGGATGACTGTAAATTTCAAGAGCTTTGTTGTTTCCACCATTGCAAAGAGAAGCGTGCTTGCAAATCTCAAGAGACGAATCCTAATGTTCGGTTAGAATATTTTCACAAGAATATTATGGCGATCAGTACATCAATTAAAAAAATAAAGTACCTAAAATATACCAACGGAAAGACACCCACAGCAGAATTTGGGGGCCGGCTTCCCCATGAAGAGCAGAGAAACCGCTTGCACCCCATGTCCCCTCCCTCCCGGGTCCCAGCCCCGCGGCTCCTCTGACCTGGGAGGTTCCAGGGCCGCCGGGCTGCGGTTCCCGCCACTGCGCTGCTGCTGACGCTGACTTTCCCAGGCCGCCCGCCCCGCGCGGACACTGCGGCTCCGGAGTCTCCAGGTCCCCGCGGCGCCCGCCGTGTCCCCCGCACCCGGGTCTGCAGCGCGCGGTTCCCACCGTGCAGGCCCCCGGGCAACGACAGGGAACGGGCACTTGTCACTGCCGGCCTCCGATCATCTCCAACTTCCCGGCGCTCACTTTGTGTCCCAGCGTCCGTTTACGTCACTGCTTGAAACCCGCCCACGGTCCGCTCTTCCATAAACCCAGCCAATGGTTCACATCCTCCCAATGGATGCTTCCGGTTTCGTATCCCCGCCCCCACGGCCCCGCCCCTCCCACTCGGTCTCCCCCGCCTTACCCACAGCTGCAGCTGTCAGGCTGCCCTGGACCCGCTCTGCACAGACTCCACACATGCTTGCTGCAGCCTAGACCAGAGCTGCATCCGGGAGGACGCTGAACCCCGGGGTCTGACCCCACAGTGAGTTCTGAAACCTTCAGAGAAAACACAGGCAGCCTAACCCCGACTTGACTACCAGACTCCAGGGCTGCAACTTACAACAAACGATAGCTGGCTAAATTAAGATGCCAGCGTCTGATCGCTAACACAGACATCACAAGCCAAAACCAAAAGCTGCAATTGTCCCTTGGGGAGAGACATTTCAGGAACTTGGATTTTGAAGTCTCAGGGTGTCTGTTGGTGGTCAGCTTATGGCTGAGTTCGTCCTAAGCTGAACAACTCTCGCCACTAGATGGGGTTCTTGTCATTTTCCTGATTCAAACAAGTTTGGCTTCTCTGACTCAGGCTTCAGGTTTTAGGCAAAGCATAAAATAAATAAACAAAATTTCGAAAACGCAATGCTGAATTCGGAGACTCTTGCTGTCCCAGATGCAGAAAATAAGTAACTGCAGCTAGTCTGAGGTTACGGAAAAAGAGCCGTCTCTCGCGCACATTCTTTCCACACATGTGCTCTTTATTGCTCTGCTGTGCTGCAAAAGTTTCCCTTTATATACACTTAACAATCCGCAATTCTCCAGCTCTATCCAAGTGCAGGGCTAGAGCTTTTCAGGGTCATAGAAACAGATAAAAGCAGTAACCGTCAGCCTTTCTGTGTGGCTAAGAGTGGGAGTGGTTTAAGCTTCCAAGAATTTCTTCAAAGGAAAGGAGGTTAAGACAGAGACACAGACAGAGACAGAGACACATAGAGAGAGATGCTAAGTCATTTGGGAAAACTAAGGAGGGAATATGTATGCTTTCTCGGTTATCTTGACTGTAATTAGGTAAATGAGCTAAAGGTTATAATCAGTGAAAATCATGAGCAAGACAAGAATCATCTTTCTTCTAAGTGTGATGCTTTTCTCCAGAAGGCCAAGGGAGTGTAATGTTTGTAAACAAACAAAGGAAACATGTGGTGTTTTGTTCCTGTTAGCACTTTCACCAGATGTTAGTTGGTCGAAAGCCTTTTTGGCTCTAAGGATTACATTCTATGCTGTCTCTCAGGGTAAAATACAAGCAGTAAATCTCTTCCTATAATGGACTAAGGTAAAACTAAGTACAAAGGCTTAAGGATTTGCTTTCTGGTTAATGTGAGGTTAGCTTGGGAGAGCACTTCCCTATCTGCTGGCAGAGTGAATCCGGGACACTCTTGTTCTCCATCTGAAGACTCAGCAACTTCAGGCACTCTGTAATTCTTGTCCTCAGGTGTCTGTGAATGTCTTAATTGAGTTCTCTTTTCCTGGACACTAACATAGACCAACTGTCTACAAAAGGAAGATAATTGCCAGGCGCAAACTTCTATGTTTACACAAGGACCTGGTTGAGAGAGTAAGGGTATTCATTGTGATTATTTTCTTGCCAGAATCACTCAGTGCTGGGGGGGGGGTCATCCAATGCATAGGGATAAATGTGCCCAGTAAATCATTGATACACTCCTGGAGGTTTTGTGATGAGTTCCACCACAGAAGGGGAGCACTATGGCTTCACAGGGAATTTATAGTAAGGACAGTGACTATTCACAAAGCAAGTCCTCCCATAAGGGTATTCATTGTGATTACTTTCTTGCCAGAATCACTCAGTGCTGGGGGGGAGTCATCCAATATACCAGTGCATAGGGATAAATGTCCCCAGTAAATGATTGATACACTCCTGGAGGTTTTGTGATGAGTTCCACCACAGAAGGGGAGCACTATGGCTTCACAGGGAACTTACAGTAAGGACAGTGACTATTCACAAAGCAAGTCCTCCCACCACCCTGTGCCTGGGCCTCCTCCATTGGAAAATGATTCCGGTGGATTAGCTCCATGATTTGTCAACTGCCTTCTCACTGCATAATTCTGTGGTTCACAGCATGGCCCCTGAGGTTAGAAGAGGGCATTGGATGTCCTGGAGTGAGGTTACAGATTGAGTGCCAGGTGAGGGTGCTTGGAATTCAAGTTGAGTCTTCTGAAAGAGCAGACAGTGCTCTTATCCCACTCAATCATCCCTAAGCCCAGTGCAAAAGTGAGTTTTATTGGGGTGACATACAAGATTGTGGGTGAGGCATTCCTCATAGAAGCACAAAGGACTCAATGACAGCTGCATCACCCTGTGAGGATGATAGCTAAGTAAGCTGGAAATCTCCTAATAGTACCTCTCCCCAAGAGTCTATGGGGCCAATTACATTCAAACTACCCAGTAGTCTTGGGGATGGGAAAGGATAGCAGAAATGTCAACTAAAATGAGATGTTTCTGAAAAGCTAGAAGGGCATCTATCATTTTGCCATTAAGGAAAACAATATAATCAGAGGATAGGAGAATACCTATGATATAAAAGGATGGGCCATTGGATAATGTATACCCGGTGTTTAACAGAGGATGAGACAAAAAGGAATAATAGTGGGTGGGTTAACCAAAATGAAGGATATATGGAGAAGCCTTATGTAATTGCACTGTCTTACAAGATAATAGGAAATACAGTTTTTAAAACTTTGAACAGTGGTATCCCACACAGGTAAATGATGCTGCTTTTACATACCAGGGCTATTAATTGAAATGCTATCTACAAGGTATTGGCTGTCTGCCTAAGAATTACTGGTCATGGATACATCAGTGGCACACTAACCAAAACAGGCATTCATTGCCAGTGCTCTTCCTTGACCACCATAACTATATAGTGTTGCTGAAGACACAAAACCCTTTGGTTACAAGATCAAAAGCAATCTTGAACTTAATAGGGAACTCTCCCTGCTAACTAGCTTTTATAGAACTGCAAGGTTCTGTTCAGGTATATGGCAGAGAAGAAATGCTAATGGTCTTACCCTTTACCCTGCATCAGTAATACAAATCTGTGCAATTCTGGCACAACTGCTTAAGAGCATAACCAACCTGTTTCTTGATAGGATTGACTTCAGCTTCAGAGAAGGGAATTCTTGACTGGTACTGTAGACAGAGTTAAAAAAAAAATCATAGCTTGGAAATTACAGGTCCATGGGCAGAAGTTATTGATGTTTTGTTAACAATAATGTTATTAATCTATCATCTAAATATGCATGTTTATAATGATCAGTTTGTACTACTCTCAAACTTGGTGAGCGAAGTCTTCTCTTGCAGATGGCAGTAGGAAATTTAGAGTTGAAATAGCTGTTCAAAACGTACTGAGACCAAGCAATTGTGCAAGATTGGGGCAACTACCATTTCATGGTTGAGGGAGGGTCCCAGGAGTCTTTTCCCTCAATGAAGGTCTACAGGCAGGTATACTAATTTAGTTAGAGTATGTGGTGGTTTGAAAGAAAGTGGCCCCTAAAAGGAGTGGTAATATTAAGTTTGGTCTTGTTAAAGTAGATTTGGTCTCGTTAGAAGTGTATTACTGCGCTGGGCGGTGGTGGTGCACGCCTTTAATCCCAGCACTCGGGAGGCAGAGGCAAACGGATCTCTGTGAGTTCAAGGCCGGGCTGGATCGACAGCCTCCAAAATAATACAGAGAACAAAACAAAACAAAACAAAACAAAAAAAGAGAAGTGTGTCACTGTGGGGGCGGGCTTTGAGGTTTGATTTGCTCAAGCTTATCTCAGTGTGATACTCAGACCACTTCCTGTTGCCTACAAGTCAAGATGTAACTCCTTCTCCAATCTCAGCTCATTCTCCAGCACCATGTCTGCCTGCATTCTGCCATGGTGATAATGGACTAAACCTCTGAAACTGTAAGCCAGCCCCAATTAATTGTTTTCCTTTGTAAGAGTTGTGATCGTCATTGTGTCTCTTCACAGCAATAGAAACCCTAACAGAGTAAGTACTCCCCCATTTTCCTTCTGTTACTTCAAAAGTAATTTCTGCATGCCTTCAGGGATTTATTTTTTTCAAGGTAAAGTGTCTATGTAACCTGGTTGTCTTGTTATTTGCTTTGTAGACCAAACTAGCTTTGATCTCTCAGAGATCAACCTGCCTCTACCTATAGCACACAGGGATTAGAAGAATGTTGTACTATGCCTTGAGAAAGTGGGGATTTTTAACTTAATTATATATATATAATTATATATATATGGGTGTTTTTCCTGTATGTATGTCTGTGCAGCATGTGGATACAGTGCCTACAGAATCCAGAAGGCATCAGATACCCTAGTACCAGAGTCACATACAGTTGTGAGCTGCCAGGTAGGTGCTGTGATCAACCAAGTCCTATGGAAGAGCAACACTGCTTTCAATCACAACACCATCTCTCCAGCCCCAAGCTGGGCAGTTATAAGCTGTATGTGAGCATGTACATGTTGTCACATTCAATCTTTTTACATTTCTCATCTTTTCCCTATTTGTATTGTTTGATTTTTGAGGGTGGATAAAATAATTTATTGGAGCATGTGTGTGTGTTTTTTCTTTTATTATGAATTTCATGTTTACTATTTTAGCACTAGGCAAAGGATTTGTCAAATTGAATGCATTTGTGTGTGGGGGGGAGTGGAACTTCCAATGAACAGCAAGACATGAGGATTATATGTGGTATACCTTGATAAGGTTTGTCGGGAGTATGAATTTAGTGATGTAGAAAAAGAGGAAAAACTAAAGGCTTTGTCACAATTTTTGATACTGTACTTTTGTCATTATTATTTGTTTTTGG